GGCAGGGGATGCTCATTTCCCCCCATCATGGGTTCTGCCCCCAGCCCAGGCCTGATGCCTCTGGCCCAGGCGTCAGGCCTGGGCAGGGGACCCCCACACCCCTCCGGTTGCTGGCTCCGCCCCCTGTCCAGGCCAGAGGTGTTGACCCCATCACCCTCTGATCGTCAGATTGGCCCCTTGCCTAGGCCTGACGCCTCGGCCAGAAGTGTCAGGCCTGGGCAGGGGACCCCCAGACCCCTCCGATAGCCGGCTCTGGGGCCGGCCTGTGGCGGGGATGGGATCTGATCACTGGCGGCAGGCCGGCGGCTTCTGGGGTCATACACGGGGGCCTGGATGGCGGCTCTCGCGCTGGCTGCTGCACTGTCCCGCCCTGCCTGCAGTATGCAAATCAGCCACCATCTTTTTTGGTGGTTAATTTGCATATAGTGCTGATTAGCCAATGGGAGGCGTAGCGAAGGTATGGTCAATTACCATGTTTGTCTATTATTAGATAGGACTAGAGGCCCGGTGCATAATTCATATCCCACTAGGGTCCCTCGGCCTGGCCTGCGGGATCGGACCGAAACCAGCTCTCCAACATCCCCCAAGGCGTCCCAGATTGCGAGAGGGTCAGCCGGACCCCAGCAGCAAGCTCAACCACCACTTGGAGCATCTGCCCCTGGTGATTAGTGCACGTCATAGTGACTGGTTGATCGGTCGACTGCCCCCTGGTGGTCAGTGCACATCATAGTGACTGGTGGACTGTTTCCACCCCCCGCCCCATCATCAGTGCACATCATAGTGAACGGTTGAATGGCCTTACCATACCATTAGCATATTATGCTTTGGTTGAAAGGCCTACTGGACAACCGACACTTAGCATATTAGGCTTTTTTTTATATAGGATAATATAGCATCATTCAACAAAGAAAAGGAGAGAAGGCAAATTGAGATTCAAAAGGTGAATGAAGGCCATTAAGAGCCTAAAAGGACCTGAGAGGAGATCTCTACTGGCTGCCTTGCTTCTGAGAAGAGGGAAACAAGCAATGGGCCACTAGAATACTATGAAAAACTATTGTTTGCCAAGTCTAACAATGCCTGTGAAGTTAGTTTATAAATGCTACCACTAGGAAAGATAAGCCAATGCGCAACTTTTAGCCATCACTGAACCGAAAGATTTGGCGATATTGTTGAGTAACAGACTTGAAGGGGATATATTCCTCCTCCCACTTCAGTCTCTGAAAAATAATCTTATTGCCAAATATTTAAATGTCTTCTCCCTCCTATTTTTTTTCTCTTTTAAGCTTGAGCCTATTTATTTCCTTAATAAAAGGAAAGTGAAGAACTCCTCACACTGAAAGCTCCTTCATTAACTGAGTCAAAGTAAAGGTATTTCTTACAATAAAACATTCAGGTCTCAAAAAAAAGAAAAGAAAAAGGTTTTAGCATGTCAGCAACTTTGCTATTTGTTTCAACCCAGCTGATTGTGTTGAAGATATAATAATCCAAAGAATTTCTTTGGTATGGTTTTCCATCTCCCATTTCTCCAATTTTTCTATATCAGGCTCTATTCTTCCCAGAACACGACTTTACTTTCTTTGTTTTCTGTTTCTTGGCAGCACTGATATTTCGCCTGGAAGGAAATATTCAAGAATCCCTAGAACTCTTTCAGACATGTGCTGTTCTCAGCCCACAGAGTGCTGATAACCTCAAGCAGGTGGCCAGGTCTTTGTGAGTATTGGCAGTCCTGGAGACTCACGGAAAACGCTGTGTAATGAGCATTCTCAGGCAGAGGCTGCTTCTGGCAGCCTGATCAGCCTCATCCATAGAGGGAGAGTTGCTTAATCAGTATAGTGGGATTCACTTTGAAGAGTGTAGATTAACTTTGAAATTTGACAAAATGAGATCACTCATATAAAGTTTGACCGAGGAACACTGATACTGGTTATCATTTAAATACTGACTTTTGTATCCTCAGTCCTCTAGTCTTATTGGCAAACCATGGAAATTTTCTCATCCAACACTTAGCATAATATTTGACACAGTAGATTTTTAGTGTTTGTTGGGATGCTCTGAAGGTTCCTGAATGCAAGTAACCTCCAAAATCTTTCTAAGCTGTTAGGCACACTAATAGCTTTACTACCCCAGTACAATATTCCAGTACTAAAGTTTCTGTGGGGTTCCCATCCCTAATTTTTTTTTTTTTACCTACATTGTAATTTATGCCTGTACTATCTTTACATAGAGCCTAGTTTTCCCCTGTTTTCTCCAGAACCATGATCCAATATCAAGGAAATAGACTTAGGCTTGGGAGCGAAGAGCATGTCCCTAATAGATGATGGTGATAAATGATGGCAGCTCTTGCTTAACTGATACATTTTTTGGTTTGTTTCTTTTTTGGTCTACATTTGTAGTACACTGTAGAAAATAAATTACAGAAGAAATAAATTACTAAAATTGGTGTAGAATTTGATCAAGGCACTGGAACTGTTACCAATGCAGTCCCTATCAAGAGAGCTTCTGCTGTTGGTATACAGCAGCCTCACTGGCCGAACCAGCACAACCAGCTCATAGGGGAGAGGATTCCAGAATTCTCAGCTGGATGGAATTTGAGTCAAATGTGGGGCTAGTGGAGTTAGTCTTCTAATAGGTTTGAGTTAATAATTATGGAAACTGTATTTCTTCCACAGATTTCTTTTGGGGAAACATAAAGCTGCCACTGAAGTATATAATGAAGCAGCTAAACTTAACCAGAAAGACTGGGTAAGTAGGGAACTTTTAGTTCTTTGTTATTAGTAACATGCTAATGGTTCCATTTATTGTATGACTGTCTTTTGTTATTACTGAATTCTTACATGCCAAAAATGTCTTGATCCTCACACTAAATTGATGATTCAGTTAGATAGAAGATCAAAAACCATGTTTCCGCATAACTTAGCAGCTATTGCTGCATGGTTTTCTGGCAGGGAGTGTTGCTGTTAAGCAGTTCGCCATTAATCTGATTCCTATTGATAATCCAGCTTTCCTTTCTAGAAATGCTCTCCTTTCTCTAAAGCTACCTTAAGTAAAGGGAGACTTATAAAGGGAATAAAGAGATTCTATAGGGCTCAAGGCCAGGAAATACAGGCTGGTCTTAAAATGAACTAGAACTGGAAAGCTGTCATCACCAAGGTAGCTACTCTTCATTTCTGTTTTATTTCTTCTTTTTGTAGATCAGCAGTTGGCAAATGTTTTATGTTTTAAAGGGCCAGTCAGTAAATATTTTAAGCTTTGTGGCTTCATATAGTCTCTGTGACAACTACTGAACTCTGAGATTCTAGTGTGAAAAAATCATGGACAATACAAATAAAACTTTATTTACAAAATAAGGCATTTGCAGACTGACTCCAAATACATATATTCGATTATAGTGCCCTCCATAAGGCACTGTCAGTCCCAAAGTCCACGTCACCTAGTGAATTCCTAGATTCCTAGGAAAAGGAATCCCATTAATACATATATGTACATGTATCTCCTGAGAAGAGGGCACAAATGGAGTGATCTCTTGTTTGTCCTGCTTTTATGTCTTATAATCTGTGGGGGTTTTTTATATTAAGGAACCCATTTTTTAGAATTAAATATATTTGAGTATGAAATCTAGTAAAAAACTGACTGTAATGCATATTTTAAAGTTTAAACTTTGCTGAACAATAACAATCTCTAGATGACTGTTGTTTCACTCGAATATGTACTGTGGAATTTACACCTAAGCTGTTTTCTTTTGTGTGTAGGAGATCTATCATAACCTAGGAGTTTGCTACATTTATCTGAAACAGTTCAACAAGGTAATTTATAGAAATAGGGGTGGCTGGTGATTTCACTGAAGGTACACTTGTTACAGAGGTGCCATTGCTCATTTTGTATTATTCCTAGTGCTTGCAGAGATTTTTGGAAGTAAAAATTGAAAGTGCCATATACACCTGTCCCCATTTTTCTTTTCATTTGCTGTTATCCATCTTTTTTTCCCCCTGCTTTTAACAAATCAATGAGAAATTCTAGAAATATTATGAGGGAATGGTAATCTAATTGCTTTTTTTCTCTCTTCTTTTTCTCTACCCCAGATTAATTTTCTAGTATAGAAGCAAATGTTCAGTAAAACTTAGATATCAAAAAGTGGACCATTGCCCTAGCGAGTTTGGCTCAGTGGATAGAACATCAGCCTGCAGTCTGAAGGGTCCCGGGTTCAATTCCTGTCAAGGGGACGTACCTCAGTTGCAGGCTCGATCCCTGGCTCTGGTCGGGGCGTGTGTGGGAGGCAACCAATCGATGTAACATTCTCACATCGATGTTTCTCTCTCTCTGTCTTTTTTCCTTTCTTCCACTCTCTTTGAAAAATCAATGGAAAAATGTCCTCATGTGAGGATTAATAACAACAAAAAAAGTGGACCTTTAAGTCTTAAAAGTGTAATCATGACCATGGGAACTCTCTCATGCTCTGATAGCAACTAATTTTAATTTTTAAGGTCATTGGAGATGAATTTTAAGTTACAAGTGGATTTGATTTCTGAGTTTCAGTTTCTAAGGTTATTTTCTATGTGAGAATTTATATTTTATTGTGATTAAGCTGCAGGTTCTAAGGCTCTTATATCAAATAAGTACCAAGTACCTTGGTACTCAAATATAAGAAAAAATGTATATATCTTAACTGAGGGATAGATTAAATTATTGAGAGCTCTGAAAGTTAATGATAATGGGTTGCATAGAGCTTCCACTTAGTGATTATGAAGTTTTATTCTCTTATCTATAGTGCTGATAGGACTAAGAATCTGAGTTGGTTAATATCCATTTGACAACATTTAATCTATCCCTTAAGAGTGTGAAAAAAAAAATCTGTACATCAGCAGTTGAGGTGTGGGAATAACTTTTACTCTTGTGAAATACATAATGATATGTATAAGTAAAATATATATATATATATGTAGTGGGCCCCTGTCCACTGGGCAGATCTACAGTGTTATATATTTGGTTAGGAGATTTTTCTCTTCAGAGGATATTCCAAGCAAGTACATTTCTATTAACAGGATTATTATGAGGCAAGGGAGAGGCAGGTTGGTCTTTGTTCAGATCTGTAAAGGAGAATAAGATTATATTTAAATTTTACTGTAAAGCTAATAGAGCAAATACAATACTTGACATTTATTGTTGAACCAATGAATCCCTAAAAAAAGTCCTTTTGACCATCAACTAGGAAGGATATAAGCTTTTCCAGAGCAAGGAGTTTGTTTTGTTAGCTCTAATATACCTCGCATCTAGAACAACAGGTACTCAGTGAGTACATATTGAGTGAATCAATGACAACAATCCATTCATTTATTTATCAAAATATTGTTGAGGAAAATGAAGTCCACTATGGGAAAGGTTGTACAGTTGGTCACTGGTACAGCTGGGCAGTGCTGTATACTATACTATGATGTCCCTTTTGACTTGTGAAGTATGAGTCATGGGTATGATTATTAAGAAGCAGAAAACAGCCCTGGCTGGTTTGGCTCAGAGGTTGGAGCATCAGCCCGTGGACCGAAGAGTTGTGGGTTTGATTCCCTGTCAAGGACAAATACCTTGATTGTGAGTTCGATTCCCGGCCACAGTTGGGGTGCATGCGGGAGGCAACCAATCGATGTTTGTCTTTCCAGTCGATGTTTCTCTCTCTGTCTCCCCTGCCCCCTTCCTCCCTTCACACCCTGTCTGAAAATGAATGGAAAAAATATCCTCGGGTGAGGATTTTAAAAAAAGAGAGAAAAGAAGCAGAAAACACTCAAAAAGTTAGTCGTCTTGTAAAAATTCTTCCAAGTGGCTCCAGAGGCAGATACTTCATGTTTCCAGCTGTCCTGTCAGCAAGTACAGTTTTGGTACGTTATTTTTGACTATTGGCTGGAATGGGATGTTCCTATATTAGTATAGCAGAAGCTCCTTTTTTGCTCTACCCCTACAAAGCCATTGTCCTTTCATGGTAGTGATTTCATTCTCTTCATCAATCTTATTAGGCACAAGACCAATTGCACCATGCCCTACATCTTAATAGGCATGATCTGACTTACATAATGCTGGGGAAGATTCACTTGCTGGCGGGAGACTTGGACAAGGCCATCGAAATCTACAAGAAAGCTGTGGAGTAAGTGTGCCTATTTCTGTTAGAGCAGGGGTGGGGAACATCTGCCCCGTATAAGGCCCATGAAATCATTTGATCTGGCCCTGCCAGGGCATTAGTGGTGAGTTAATTGTTTGACCAAATTTTTAAATTGATAATTTTGTATGGCCCACGAATGATCTGATAAATATCTAAATGGCCCTTAGCAGAAAAAAGGTCTCCCGGACTCCCCAGCTTTAGAGCAAGGAAGAACTTTAAAAAAAGGGGGCGAGGGGAGTAGATATATGAATTCTCAAGCCTATGAGAGAATATATATGACTGATAACTAGTTGTATGAATTAGAGTAAATGTTAAGCTAAGGGTAAGAAATCCCAATGGCCTAAACAAGGAAGATTTGTATTTCTTTCTCACCTATTAGTATGGCTGGTTTAGCCTAGGTGGGCGGTTCTGCTCTACAAGGGCAATCAGGGACCTAGGTTCCTTCATTATTAACTCACCATTGGTTAGGTTGTTGTCTTCACCTGCATGGTTGAAACTGACTTACTATAACCACCATGTTCCGGGCTGTGGTGGTGGGGAGGTGGTACCGGAAACTAAGTACTGAGTAAACAGCTTGTAGTGTTTAAGTGGCCCAGAAGTTGCACACCTCATTCATGCTTGTGTTCCATGGTTCAAAATTAATGAGGTGGCCACATCCAGCTATAAGGGAAGTGGGCACACATGCTTGGGAGGAGGGTCTTATTAGCATGAGACCAATATCTTGTTGTTTTTGTAAAAATATTATTTTTTTTCAAACTCCTATTGATGATGGAACTGACTGGCTTACCAGGATGGTGTTCCATGTTTTCTCTGTAGACACACGTTATCTTGCCTTTTCTGTATAGGGTTTTGCCTTGTTTTAAATGGGATAACTGTCGCCATGATGCTTTAATGTCTCGTTTGTTTGCTCATTTAATAGAATTCCTGGTCACAGAGTCTAGTATTCCTGGTAATTAGACTACGAACTAAACTTAATTTGTTAAATTAATATGTTCATTATCTTTGTCTTCTTCCATAGTAATGATATAGCAACTTTTCTGGTTTTATCAGTCATAACAGCTTTCTGAATTTTCTTCAGTCATATTTTGTGCCTAAAAAGATAGAAAAATCCCTTGGTTTGTTAAGTTACAAGAGAGAGACTTTTGTCATCAAGAGGCTATGTTTATGTGGACAAGTAGGAAGGAGCCCACATAGCATATGTTAAGCTTCTGTGGGGCTGCTGGAAGCCTTAATTTGTGACCCCTCCTCACATAAATCTGAAGGGTGACATTCTTCTTGCTGGGAGCCAAGATCAACAGTAATTAATATAAATGGCAGAAGTCCATTGGGGCTTTTGATATTCAGAAGGCTAAATGTTTGCATTGTTATTAACCTGCTGCTAAGTCAATGGCCGAAGGCACACTCCCCCAACCTGATAATCCTACCGTTTACTAAACATCACCTTTGATATGCCTGTTTGCATTCCTAAAAGGCAGTTGTGTATTCTAGTAAATAAAAAGCCGATGGGAATGGAGACTCAGTGGAACTTGGTCTCTCGAACCAAGTTCACAACTGGCTTCCCCCATAATTTCCAAATTTATATTTCTTGTCTGTGTATTAATTTGTGTGTCAGCCCTTTCTCCAGGTCTTTGAACCCAGGCCACGCTGGCCGTTGTCTCACATCTTCCAGTGGTTGGTCAAGCACTTAAGACACAAGAATTTCCAAGAGGACAGCTGAGCATTTGGAGCCTCACTGAGAATGTGGAGAGCACAGCTTGGAGATGGCAGTTTTGGTGGGGGGAGAGATGCAGCCAGAATCACAGAAGTTAGTTTGGGGGAGGGAGGTGATGAAAATGGATATTTATTATGGCAGAGTGAAGGGCAAATACTCAGTTGAACTGAGTAAGCTTTGTTTGGCCAGCTCAGGTCTCTCTGGCTGGGGTTTTGGCCCCTCTGATTCTGGTCGCCTGATAGGTAACCAGCATCCTACCTCATTGCTTAGAAGCATGCAACACTGTTCCTCACCTTTGGCATTTTTACTGTTGGTACTGTCTGATGATCCTGTAGTCAGATCATCTTAGCTCAGGGTAGCTTTAGTTTTGTAACAAAGACAAATGTTAGTGAGGGATTGGGAAAGCAGATAATCTTTTACCTAAGCCAATGGCAAATTCTTTCCCAGAGCTGGTATGTCTTCCTTTTTTTTGTTTAGTTTGACTGTTTACCATGGCTTTTTGTTTAATATGTAGAGCAGAGCATTAGGGCCCTTGGGATCCTAAATTACACAGAAAATTATACAGGTTGCCATTGTGCATACAGTGAGAACAGGATAAAAAAAAAAAAAAGAAATCCCACCTGAAGGAAACTGGTTAAAGCTATGTGTGTTCCATACTGACTTGGTTTATAAAGAATTATCCTTTAGTTCTGTCAGTATAATGAAGACAGTCACACAAAATATTCAATAGGTTTTGTCTTAGGACTTAGACTCTAAGAAATGGTCCTGAAAAAGAGTCTGGATTCTGAGTCCTATTTCTTTCTTGTTGAGCAGTCCTCCCTGTAGTCAGGGTTGAGATGACATACTATTGAAGGCAGTTTCCCAGTCATCTTGGGGAATTTCCATGGAGAGTGGGACACACTGTCTTTCAGATGTTGCCTGAGGGCATGTTACTGTGCATGTGCCTCAGTATCTCATTCACATCTTGTTTCCCTTTGAGCATCTCTGTGTTATCTCTGTGTTGCAGGTTCTCACCAGAAAATACAGAACTTCTTACAACTTTAGGATTACTCTACTTACAGGTAAAGAGAACTCTTTACTCAGTCATGCATTGATGTTAGAAATACTTCTGGATTTATGTGTATTGTGGTTTCCTGCATTTTGATTTTATTTTAACACATTTTACTAAAGTTCATATGAAGCACACCAATCTTACTCTCCGTATTATTATATTCTTTATCTCTTAAAGGAATTAATTTTCTGCATTCAAATAAAACCTGCAATTATAATTTTTAAAGGAAAGCGCATATATGAGAAATAACTGGTCATGAGGACTGTCATTTTGTTGTGGGGAGAGAGACTGATACAAGTTATCACTATCAGGGCTTTGGAGCTACGGCCATTTCTGTTGTTCCTTCTTCCCAGCCAGGTCCTATAGGAAAGAGAAGGTAAAACATTGTCTAGAATAAGAAGTCTGTCTCTTTCCTGCGTGTGAATGAAATTCTTTTAGCTCAATCACTTCTTATCAGCCTGAGCACTGGGGCCCAGAGGTCCTGGAGGGACCTCTACCCGTCCCATTCCCCCATCAACTTCCAAAGTTCACTGTTTAGCTGATCCTGCCTCCAGTTCTGCCTCTTTGGTAGCCTTTCTGTTTGTTTCATTTTTCTTTAAAAGGAATTAGGAGTTTAATTCCTGGGCCTTCCTGGCTTTGGCTTGGGAGACTGGCCCCGGGGGAGATGAGGCTAACCAGCCCATTTCCTGCCAAGAGACATTAGCGTGGAGCATATTATGGCAGAGATAATTCCTGGCAAATGGATACTTTGATCTTATCAGGGGACAAATGTGGGGATTTTTAGTTTTCTTTTTCTATCTGGTATCTGTAGCTCTGTTTTGTGAAGAGAACTCAGAAAAGTCAGGGTGCTTCAGGGTGTAAGTGGCCAGACTGCTGAACGCTGTCTCCTTGCTGATACAATTCTCTTGTTTGCTTTTTCTCCAAGGTTGGCATTTACCAGAAGGCATTTGAACACCTCGGAAAAGCTCTAACTTATGACCCTGTCAACTACAAGGTACTGCAGGCTATCAAACCCCAGAGCCTTCACATAGATGGTTCACTCCTAGAGGTGATCTGGCCCTAGAAAGCATTTTGAATACCTGAGAAATTACCTTTTTCTTAAGAAAATTATAAATAAACATGGCTCTTCTCATTTGAAAATATTGTGTTGGTGTTCTGCTTGTTATTTTTCCAAAAGAGCACATTTGTTATAACAGACTTGTATTGTAACTTAGGCAGAAAGCAAAATTGTAGTGCTGGTAAAGTTTTATGTATTTATGAAATTAGCAAAGCCTCCACAATTACTGTCAAAAATACTTCTGGTGAAATGATTTCTAGTTTCTTAATGAATTTGCAATTACAACCTTGTCCAGATATGTCTTTAGGGGTGAGAAGATCATCAAGCGGATGAATGTCATTGAGGGAGATGCAGCATAACAGGCTGTGAAGGATACAGACTCAGTCCTACCTCAGAGCCACATTAGCCTGAGCCCTGCCTGGACTGATGAAGCCTAAAGCTGTGTCTGTCACCTTTGTGCTGTGGCAGAAGGAACTATACTTTAACTGGCCAAGAAAGGAGTATTTGAGTTGTCTGGAGCAGCACTTAGTGTATCAAGTAGAGGCTACAGGGAACAGATTAAAGGCACTATGCTCAGAAATATTGCCCTCTCCAGTTAGAAGTAGGAAACAAATGAGCTGGGTAAAGTCAGTGACATTTTATCTTTTCTTTTTCTGTACTGTGCCAAAGAGAGCCAGAGTGTGGGGTGCAGTGATTTCTCATGAGCATTTGTCCCAATAGCTTGAATATATTTTATATGTCCCTGGAAGTTTTTCAGTCACGCTGTGCAGATTATCTACACCCAGGAAGGCTCCTCCACTGCTATAGCCTTTTGGGAATGACCGAATTATCAACTTCCCATGTCCTGTGTTTTCAGGCCATCTTGGCAGCAGGCAGCATGATGCAGACCCATGGAGACTTTGATGTTGCCCTCACCAAATACAGAGTTATAGTTTCTGCTGTTCCAGAAAGTCCTCCACTTTGGAATAACATTGGAATGTGTTTCTTTGGCAAGAAGAAATATGTAGCAGTGAGTGTGTCCTCACCTTTGTCGAGTAAGACTCCCTCCATGTTCTGCGTGGAGTAGGGTTTGGTATCTGAAAGAAGAGCCGCACAACAAATGAGAGAAAAAGACACGAGATAATTTTGCAATATTGGGGGACCAGGCGAGCAAGTCCTAAAGGACTTCCCCGATGCTCAGGCTGCTCCAATCTTTTATTGATCTGGAGTAGCCCTATCTACGGAATTAAGTGAACTAAGGTGGGGATGCTTCAACTATTATTACCTAAATTAACTCGGTGGTGCACAGTTCTGACCTTTGCTAGAACTTCAAATGTTACTAGCTTTTGGGGGGTCTCTGTCTAAACTCAGCTAGTGAAGACAATGAATGGACTCCGGCATCCTTCCTTGTTTGTGTTATTGGGTCTGCCCAGCTTGCCCCACCTTCATCAAGTGCCCCTCTCTCCTGCAGGCTATCAGCTGCCTAAAACGAGCCAACTACTTGGCACCCTTTGATTGGAAGATTCTCTATAATCTGGGCCTCGTTCACTTGACCATGCAGCAGTATGCATCAGCTTTCCATTTTCTCAGTGCAGCCATCAACTTCCAGCCAAAGATGGGGGAACTATATATGCTCTTGGCGGGTAAGAGACTATTGTGTGGAAACCCTCTCCACAGTCTGTAATAAGGGGAAAATGAATTAGAATCATTGGAGGCCAGTGGCTAAATGTACTGCAGAAGCCATTCCCTTGCAGGTTCCATAGGAATCTGGATTATTGTGTTAGAGCTTGAAAAACAATGAAGAAAATAATGATAAGGCACTTGGTTCTTTCTAACTTGGGGCAGTTTCACTCAGACCAACAGGTTAAATCAAGATCATCCTCGTTTATCTTTTACCAAATGTTTTCCCTTGCCTTGACTATTTATTTATATGTATATATTGAGCCCAGCTAAGTTCCAGATATCATTTAGCATACAAGGGATATATCTTATAGGGTTGACGAGGGAATTGGGTGATTAAGTAACCAATGAATATGAACTATTATTGGTTTTATTGTTAGTTACTGTAATACAAAAGATTGACTAAATATTCTTTCTAGGGAATATTTCTCTGTCTGAAAGCAGTTTGCTAGTTCTCATTGACTTTTGTCTTCAGGTGTTGTTTTAGTCATTATTGTGGGGTTCTTATAAGAGAACTAGGGGCCCGGTACATGAAATTTGTGCACCGGGTGTGGGGGTGGGAGGCGGGGGGGGAGTGTCCCTCAGCCCAGCCTGCCCCCTCTCACATACTGGGAGCCCTCAGGCGTTGACCCCCATCACCCTCCAATCGCAGGATCGGCCCCTTGCCCAGGCCTGACGCCTCTGACAGAGGTGTCAGGCCTGGGCAGGGGATCCTCATTTCCCCCTATCACTGGTTCTGCCCCCAGCCCAGGCCTGATGCCTCTGGCCCAGGCGTCAGGCCTGGGCAGGGGACCCTCCAGACCCCTCTGATTGCTGGCTCTGCCCCTGGCCCAGGCCTGG